AAAAAAAAAAAAAAAAAAAGGAGAGGAAAATTATTAAAAATAAATAAATTTTAATTTGTGGACCAACGTATTTTGGACTGAACTATATATGTTTCAGTTTGTATTACGAGAAACAGTGCATTTTGCCTCCTCTTAAAAAAAAAATTGTTTTGGCTATTCCATATTAATGAGGATTGAGGGTTGTAACCAATGGTTGTGGAAGATGACAGGATGAGGAAGGCTGACTTCAGGTTCCTCAACCTTGACAACTTGAAGATGTGTGGACTTCAACTCCACACATCTTAAAGCTGTCAAGGTTGGGAAAAACTGCTTAAGGAAAAGGGGACTTTCCTGCACGTGCTGGCTGTGAGCTTCTGGAAGGAAAGCTATTAGGACAAAGACCTTGCTTCTCTCAGTGCCATGTTGACTATTCTGTGGTTAGGAAGCCCTACGTGGGTTACGGCCTGACTATCTAAGGGATCAGTTCTCCCATTAGGAGGCCGTCTGGTGGTTAGGAACTGCAGCAGAGCAGAAGCCCTTAGAAGGTGTCCTCCTTCCCCTGACAAAGCCCATCTTTCTCCACAGAACAAGTCCTTCAGCTTTGTTGCTTCCAGCTATGGAAAACACACTTTTGGAGGCTGCATTTGGCCTCTACCTTGTGTTTCATAGTTCTACATCAGTTTGTAGCCTCTCCAGCTGCTCACGCTTCCTGATCTAGAAAAGGATCAGGAGAGGATAACCTCCTGCAGTCCTGCCTTCAACTGAAGCATGAAAAACCCAGAGGCTGCAAATCACTGCAGAGAACAGGGCACAAGGAAAGATAGACAAAATACTCATACCCATCATCTAATATTAACTGGAAGAATTTTTGAAGCCATTTTGTTTTCTATCAGGTTGACTAAAAATGGCCAGCTGTACAAGTGAGTAAGCATATTTCAGGCAAATTCAATCATATGCTCTTTCCAAGTGCTTCATATTGTGTGACTAAACATAGTGAATCTCCATATCATGAAGGGTTTTTTTTAAAGATGACTTTTATGTATTCTAGTGTTTGGTCATAAGGACTGTTGTATGCAGTAATCTGCACGTTCATTTTGATTGACTTAACATTCTGAAAACTTTAAAGGAAAAAATGACAAATGTTTCAAATATTTAGTATGCATGGAGTGTATTCATACATTGTCTAAGGGGAAATTCAACTAGACTCATCACTACTGTCTACAATCTTGCTATTGCTACTGTTTTGTTTGTCTGCTTTTAATTTATTTAAGTTGCATACCACCTTTCTACCCTGGCTAGCACTCAGTGTGCTTAACAAAATGTAAACAATAAAAACAAAATATGAAGAGTTAAAAACACAAAGTAAAAAGGATCAATAAAATTAAATGATCCAATGGACACTTTTCGTGTGTGGGACCACCTTTCTTTATGGGACCACCTTTCTTCAAGATAATCTTACATAGGTAGAGATGGAGATGAGTTATTCCTATTTCAAGACACCTTTTCAGGGCCCTTCCAACTCAGTACACTCCAAAAGATCAACAAACTCACCAAGCAAGTCCACAGAGCACTGAAGGTTAGAGATGATGACGTATGGCCCTTTCAGATTTAGGCTTGTAGCTCCCTGCACATTGATCTTAATGCCATAAAGGTGTTTCAAAGGTAGCATGATGAAACGCAGAACGCTGAAACAAAGAATGAGAGCAGATGTACTTTAGAAACATTAAGGAGTTGAGGAAGTTGCTAGTGCTGGTTCAAATAAGAGCTGTCCAAAATTGCACTCTTCCATAAAACATGTGTGGTGCTCTTCAGCCAGTGACAATTGTGTCAGGTTAGCTTAGCATATAAGATAGTTAGGAGGATAAAAGGTGATGGATATCTAACCATCACATTCATATTTGGCCTTTTCTCAGGAACTCAAGGCATGCATGTTGAGATCATCTTCATAACAATCCTGTGAAGGAGTCTAGGCTAAGAGACAAGTGAGATCATCCAGATGACTGTTTTATATTGCACCACCAGAATGTCCTATTTACCCAATTATATCACTATTGTCTGACACTGTTTTGATGTCCTTTCCTCTTACATTTTTATGCTACAGAAAATGTGCTCAATTCCAGGCATCATTCCAACTTTCTTCCTGGTGGGCAGTTCTTCTGTGATGCTCATCTCCAAGGAATCCATTAACTCCAATGTTCAAATGTACTTCTCTCCCTTCAGAGCTTATTTGATCCATTGGCTAGCATCCCAAAAATTGTGTTGTGCTTAGAGTAGAAACATTAATAGAGTGTGATAGAATGTGGTGAGTAGAGGAAGCAAACCACTAGCAAGTTCTATTCTTGTCTTTCTGAGGAGTTTTGTTTTTTCCTCAGCTGCAGGACCGGCACACCTTCAGATGCAATGGGGAAGAGCCTTGTGGAAGGTAAACCAGGGCAATCATGGACTGATCAGCTAATCAGCACATATTCCAGCATTCCTTGTCACAGGAGTGGATGGAACAGAGTGGCATGGATCCCAGAGACATTCAGGACATTAGCAATATTTGAATAATGAGATTAGCTCCATCCCTCTCAACTTTCCGCAAGTCCCTCAAGACCTGGTTATGTGATCAGGCCCGGGGGTCCCAGGGGACGTGGGAGATTTTGCGATGGCTCCCTTATTCACATGATCTCCTCTTGTTTTGTGTGCTCTTATCATTTTCTACTTGCAATTGTTTTTTATGTATTTATTCTTTTTAATTGTTGTACGCCACCCAGAGTCACTTTTATGTGAGATGGGTGGGTATATAAATATGATAAATAAATAAATAAATAATGATAAGCTCAGTGACTGACCCAGAATCCCCTTGAGGGGTGACCAGATTAAAGCTGTCCCTGGTCCCAGGCAAACACCATACTGTATCAGTTTGGGCTTGTTTTTCCCTGGAACTCTGAGCTCCACTAATTGGAGGAGCTGGGTGCAAACTAGCTCCCATGAGTGCTAGTGAATGAGTGCAATTCATTCTATGATCCATATCCCATTATGGATGATGTATGTGGTTTGCTGCATACACCATCAAGTGCTATCTCCTCTCCACATTTTGTTTCTTTGATCAAGCTCAAGTCACCAGCACAACATTCTGGAATTACAAGGAGCAACCAGAGTAACGAAAGCATGGCTGGACACCATCATGTAAACACTGCAGGCTCTGTAAGCTATCACGAAGGTACAGAGGCCAGCACATGTTAGTGCCCCCCTGTATTCAGAGTAGCAATAGTCCCAGAATGTCTATTTTTCATTTTGGATCAAGTATGTAGATGAACTCAGGCACTTCTGGATAAAAAAATCTTTTTTCATGCAAGCGTCCTGCCAAATTACAGAAAGATTCAATCTTCCAACTGCTGTGATCTTTTCATATTTTCAAAAGGGGAAAAACACCTTTTGTAGCAGGAACAATAGACTATAAGGAGGTATTCCTGCAAGAGTAAACAGTGGGCAGTGGGCAGCACCTTGTCTTTTCCTTCCAAGACCTCCTTTCTTTGGTCTCTCTCTTCCTCTTCCTACAGGTAGCTGCCAGGAAGGAGATGGACTGCTATTGGTGGGAGACGGAATTGCTTTCTATCAGGGAGCTTCAGGTTTTAAGCTGAGGGACACCATTTGCCCTAGAACTTCAGGGTTGCTTCTTGCTGATCCAGAGACATCCACGATCTCTGCAATGGTTTTTCTGCTTATCCACCTGATTCAGATTTGTAGTTCTTGTACACAGTACTCACGGATGTCTGTTTTTCTCCTTGTTCTCTTAAGGTGGCATAGTGGTGACGGTATTGAACTAGGACCCTCATTCATGGAAACTCACTGGATTACCTCATTCAATTTCAGTCACTCAATTTCAGCCTAACTTACCCGACAGGATCATTTCTTTGGAGATAAGTGGGACCTACAAGTGCACCATCTTGAGCTTCTGGAGGAAAGGTGGGCTGCAAATCTAACAAGTTAACTAAGCTAAACAAGTAAGCAAATACAGGTAGTCCTCGACTTACGAATATTCATTTAGTGACTGTTCAAAGTTATAACGGCACTGAAAAAAGTGACTTATGAGTAGTCCTTGCACTTAAGACTATCCGTCACAGTGTTCCTGTGGTCATGTGATCAACATTCGGGCACTTCGCAACTGACATGTTTTTATGAAGGTTGCAGTGTCCCAGGGTCACGTGATTGCCATTTGTAACCTTCCCAGCCAGCTTCCGACAAGCAAAATCAATGGGGAACCACATGATTCACTTAATGACCACATGATTCATTTAACGACTGTGTGATTTACTTAATAATCACAATAATTTGCTTAACAACCACCGCAAAAAATGTCATGAAATTGGGTGCGGTCATGTGATGCCTCTCTTAACAACCGCAACCCGTAATAATGAATTTTCTGGTCCCTATTGTGGACATAAGTCAAGGACTACCTGTAAATAACTCTCTACTCTTCTCCCTACAATTCTGCTTTCCTGCTGCCATTTCTCCTGACTCTTCTGTTCCATTTGGGCATTTGGAAAAGGACTTCACTCTCTCTGTTGCTCTGTTTAATACCTGATAGTCACTGAAAGTGTGTGTGTGTGTGTGTGTAATGCCATAGTAATATCTACTTACCTCATATTTGCCACATTCCTTCCACGGAAAGCTATGACAGGAAGCAGAAAAAAGGACCACCCAAGTAACCAGGCTTTTAAAAAGCAAATCCTGAAGTAGTATCTGAAGATGTTGCTATAATGATAAAGGAGCAGCACCGCTAAGAAGAAGAGGAAAAAGTTGACTAGGCCAAGCGACTGAGCCATGCTCTTTCCTGGAGCAGAACACTACAGACACACCAGCATCACGCATAGCTCAGCAGTGCTTTGATGGTGTTTAGGGTGTAGGGTGGCTGGGCGTGGAATTCAGCGTACATTAACAAAAAAAACTTGTTCAAGCAAGTGTATCACAGCAAGGGAGAAGATTAATGGGCTTTAACAAACATGTGAAGCTGGGCGTGGGAGCCAGGAATGTGCAGAGGTGTATACTTGCAACATTACATTTGTGATCGAGATAAATGAAACAGCTCACTTTAAGTTGACTGATGAAGGCCACTGACCTCAAAAAGATCATATATATTTAACAGAAAATACCCCAAGTTGTCACCAGATGAGAAAGAAAATAATTATTCAGGCCTGCTCTTGAACTATCCACAGCAGATGTACCATTAGCAAATGAAGGTTTGGGGTGGGGGAAGAGAAGGAGGTATCACCTGTTAAGGTCTACACAAATGTGTATAAGAAGCTATACACGTGGCTGCATCTGGAATATCATGTGTGTTTGGGTTATTGCATCTCACTGTATGTGTAACCCAATCCCCATATCACAAGTACTGAGGGACAACCTGCTTTTCATAACTCCGCCATTTGATGCTCCAAAGGAAGGGGCATGTTCAGCCCCTTCCTGTTGGTGACTCCACAACTGTGAAATTCCTTGCCTTGTGAGATACGTTCAGCCCTCAATCCAAGACGGTTCCATTTAGATGCATACTTTCTCTGTGTGATCTGTCTGGGGCTATTAACCTTCATGTTCTACTTGTGGGTTTCTCAGAGACATCTAGCTGGCTACAATGGTTAGAGGTGGAACTGAATACAGAGGAGCTAGGAAACCAGAGCCTCACATAAGAGTCTTCTAACATCAAGAGTCCCACCTCCACCAAGATCAAACTTGCTAATTGCATCACATGCCTTCCACCAGTTTTATTGAGATAGTAGTCAACTGGCTTGAGGAATGTATTCACATATATTTGACACCAGGTTTGCTTACATATGGTACCCATGTTCTTTCACATTCCACAATGTGTTTTTTTCTTCATTTACTCCAAACCCAGCAAAGGGTCTTTGTTGGCACCCTGTATGCCATTTTACCAGGGAATAAGGGATTGGGTGTAAGTTTTATATTATAGAACAGTGTTTCTCAACCTTGGCAACTTTAAGATGCGTGGATTTCAACTCCCAGAATTCCCCAGCCAGCAAATTCTGGGAGTTGAAGTCCACGCATCTTAAAGTTGCCAAGGTTGAGAAACACTATTGTAGAAGGAGAACCATGTTAGTCCATGGTAGCCAAAAATCAGAAGGAGACTAGTAATAACTTTTCAGATGAAATAATTTAATGAAAAGGCATAAACTTTCTGGTGTTTTAGTAGTCTCTGTGATTCTTCTGTGCGTTATAAAATATGGCAATCTTAAAATATTTTAGGAAGCTAATTAAAAACAACAGGTAATTGTTCATGGATTTAAGCATTAATGGGATTACATCGAAATTAATGAGAAGTAAAATACAAGCCATCTTATTTTCTTGCTTTTTGATCCTACCAAATTTTAAAGTGAGAAAAGGATGTTCCTGTCCTTTTATTTATTGATGTTAGCATTTTTTTTGCTTCCTGGAAATTACTTCCAAAATTCTTCCTCTTTTGTTTTTGTTTTTAAATCTTCACACTTTAGAAATGCTATAAAAATGTTCAATAATTATAATTATTTCACTAAATACAAAAAAAGACAATTTTACACTTGATACAAAGAGTCCTGACAATTATAATTTAAAAGGCTGCCATCTGTGTGTGTGTGTGTGTGTGTGTGTGTGTGTGTGTGGGTTGTATATGCATGAATGTATAGATAATTAAAATATTGGCTCCTTGAAATTCCCACTTCTGATTATGATGACAAAGAAAACTTGGGAGCCTTTTTCCATGGAAGACAAGGCACATGAGATTGCTTGCTAACTATACGCTAGAGCAGAGTTCCTCAACCTTGGCAACTTTAAGATGGGTGGACTTCAATTCCCAGAATTCCCCAGCCAG